GAGAGAGAGAGAGAGAGAGAGAGAGAGAGAGAGAGAGAGAGAGAGAGAGAGAGAGAAAGATACGGATACTGATAAAATCAATGGATTCTGTTTCAATTCAATTAGGATTGGATCCGGCAAAGCCCATGTTTGAAAATATGTCAGACAATGATGGGTCGCTGGACAAATCGGACGCTGAATTCGTGGATATTATTCATTCGTGTGCCGGCGTTTTGGGTTACACAAAACCATTGGGTCACGTGTAAGTATAATCGCATTGTCCGAAGAAATTGTCTTTAATCATTTCGGATAGATTTATATTTGGATGTTTGTTGATGTGTGTTCTTTCTTTTTTTCGTTTATTTTAATCTCGGTTTCCTCGTCTCCTGTTTATTTGTTAGTGATTTTTATCCAAATGGGGGTCGAGCATCTCAGCCAGGTTGCCGAGGAATATTCAAAGAGCTCTTAGGTGCGTACACGTGTGCTGTGTCTTTTATTTGTGTGTTTAGATGTGGAAAATGCTGAAAATTCACTTGCATTGTTCGCATGTAATGGGGCATTTATATTTTATTTTTCATCAACAAAACAGAGGCATGCAGTCATGGTCGATCCCATCAGTATTTTGCCGCTTCCATTCTAAAAGAGAATGTCTTCACTGGTTATCCATGCACATCGTATGAATCGTACCGGACTGGCACATGTAAAAAGGAGAATGGCATTCGAATGGGTGATCCGGTGCCAAAAACTGCTCGTGGCATTTACTACTTGAAAACATCCAGTTCGTCGCCCTATGCACAGGGTCACAAATAAATTAGATATTTTTCTCTTAATTATATCATTAATAACGACGCTCTTCTCTATTTTCGGATTTTTCGTTTTGACTTCCCCACACACACACACATGCTCACAACAAATATGCTCGGCATCAAAATTTTAGATCGGGGCGACAAGAACGTGTTCGTGTGTGCTTATGTGCTTGTTTGTGTACGTATGTCTGTATGCATATAAAACCGACAATTTCTCGTCTATTATTCGAGCTGTAGCGCAAAATTATAGAAACGAAAACACAAAACTGACACAACAAAACACAATGCAACGATTCTCTTGCCCACTTCATTTCATTCCGGCCCAAAACTTCCATACAGCAGCTACATTCTCAGTCAACCGAGATGGAGAAGAGAAACGTTTCCTTTGATTCAATTAACTTTATTTGCTACATTGAATTCGGCGCTTAAGATATTTATTTATTTCATGCACTAATTTATTGTTAAGTATTTATCATTATCATTACTGCATACAAACTGATGTACACTTCTTCCGAAGTTATTAAATATTTATTCGAATGTGGTTTGATCCTCAAACCAAGTAAATGGCACGTAGTCGTGCGCGTTCGTACGTTCGTTTGTTCGCTTATTTCCTCGGAAAACAACCGACCAAAGAAGAGAATAAGCGATCGAACGAGAGAGCGCACACACACACACACACACACATGAAAACGGCAATGCGAATAAAACCAGATATTTATTGGAAAATTTAATGAAATAATAAATTCATTTTGATTTCTCGAGGTTAAATTAATAACACTATGATGTAAGATAAAGTACTTATTGCGGCAAACATTTTGGAAATTTATGGACGGAACGCGGGGCGCTTTTCAGTATAGGAACACGAAAGTTATTTGATTGCGCTCTTACACATTCTCTCTCTCTTTCTCTCTCTCACTCACTTACCCGTACTCATGCACAAACACACTGCAAAACGCCATAAACAAAATTGATCGAATGCAAGCGACATACATACAATTTCATGGGAATTGAAGAGGTATGTTTGTTTCAAGCGGCCGCATACTTGAGCTGTTATAGTTAAAATGCTTGACGAGCATAACTTCCTGAGCACATACAATTTAAGCCAAACGAGATATTGAGATATATTGTAGATAAAAAGACGGAGAAAGAGAGAGAGAGAGAGAGAGAGAGAGAGAGAGAACGTGAGATTTAAATTTTTTTCTAATTTGTTCATTCTTCATTTGAAATTAAGATGAGCGTAGCAGTGAAAATTAGAAGCAAAACACTTCGGCACATGGAGAGGGTGAATGGGATACGAATAGAAGGGAAAAAACACACACACAGAGAGAGAAAGAAAGCGAGTGGAAAAAAGTGGAGGTTTCAGAACGATATAGCAATAGACGAAATCGCTAACCTTTAACCTCTTAACAATATTACCACTGAATCAGAATGAAAGCACAGCAATTTTTCCATGTGTGTATGTGTGTGTGTGCTCGTGTTTTTCATACGCAAAAACCAAAGCGAGCAAAGAAGCAGAAAATCCAGCACAAAAATGAAAATGATGAACAGGAAAGCGAACGAAATAAAGAAGAAGAAGAAGAAAGAAATGACTCGCTTTACTCTTCGCATCAAGAGATGAAGATGAAAAAAAAGGAGAAGCAAAATATGATGATGATGATGATGATGAGGCGAGGAAAAAAAAACTTAGCAACGTAAAAGTTTGGAGCGAACGGCAGTTCGTAACGAGGGATCAAATAAGACGCATCGAATCGAGAACGAATTGAATGAGTGTCGTCAGGCATTTGGGTTGTAATGCCAGCCGTTTTCTTGCTCTAACCCACAAAATCTATGCGATCCTTTGTTCTTCTTGTGTTGAGCCATCGTCGAGGAAAACTGGAAATGTTGCTGCACAGCAACGGTAACGGTAACAGCCAGAGCACACATCGTACGCACACAGAATCTCTCTCTCGGTCTCGTCTCACTCTCGATTCACGAGTTTTTCGCAATGCGAAGCACAAACAATATCGTGCTCGCCAATTTATGCACGTGTGCAAACGAGAAGAACCCCAGAAAGTTGCGAAAGAACGAGAATAACTACGTGTGTGTTGGTTGGTTCGTTGCGCGCCTCACTGAACTTTTGTCGGAATGAATTCACATCAATCGTGTGCATTTTCTCCTCGTTCGTTCGTTCGGTCGCCAGCCAACCAGCCCCCACCTTTCTCGCTTCACTTTGTTCGTTCTGGTTGCCTCGTACCTCGCTCTGGTTGCCCGGCTCTCGACCATTACAGCGACAGCAGCCACAGCAGAAGCAGCCAGCATTCAGGTTTGCCTCGGCAAAAAGACGAAAGGTATAGTGATTATTTTACACTTGCATGGAAATTCGGACGAAAAAGGAAAATCATCATCATTATTGAAATGGTTTAACACGCACCAAAAACCCAACGTAGCATTCGATTTTTGAGACGTGTTCTCATCGAGGTTTTACTTGATTCGCTTTTGACTCTATCGCGCGCGTGTAATAAAATTCAGTGATCGGCGTCAATCTCTGTTTCTCTCTTTCTGTCTCTCTGACTCTCGTCCGTTTCAGGTTTAAACCATTTGAATTTTCAACCAACTGTATGGTAGCTGTCGATTGATGGAGCACTGTTTGAGCAGAGCGTACTCGACCGACTCTAACTCTCTCTCTCTCTCTCTTTCTCTATCTCTATTTAGATGTGTGGCCATAATCCATCTGAAATTTTCGAATCCAAATGCGTATACATCGATTTTAATCTACATCCATCGAATTACTTTTATTGAAAATCCATTGACAGTGTAACGTGATTCTGATTCAGTTGCGATAAAATTGTCTACATTGTGTGTATAACGGGTAAATGCTATGGAATAACGAACAACGAGGCCCACGTAACATTGCGCCCTATCGCATGCTTCTTTCCCTTAGATTACGGGTTGTATGGGAAAAAAAGGAAAACGATTCAAGTAAAGAGCTACTGAAACAGATTGTGAGCCTTATTTTTTCTTTATTCTTGCGAAAAGTTAAAGATAAAAATGAAAACCGCTTTCAATTCTTTGGGGCCTTAATTAGAAAAATTCTTCGCATTTGAATACGCATATATATGAATCATTTTTGGAATCGTTTTGACCGTTTGTGTTTTGTTCAGCGAGCGAGCGGACGAGAGGGTTCCGTTTTTATGACTTGAATGCGATGCCAGCGATAACACTGGCCGCCCGAAAATGATGAGTGAACATTGTTACATGGGAATGTGCGGCGATACACATGTGACCATGTACCATGTAAAATGTTGCTGTATTCGGAGATGCACACACAAAGCGTGTATTAAAGCGTCATCGTAGTCGCCTTCGTTGTTGTTGTCGTCTCTTCTAGCTCGACTACACGCCACATAACATATAAAATCATCCAACAAAACACGAAGCGTGTGCTTCGGCAATCCACTCTCTCTCGTACTGTGCTGTGGCTTCGGCACACACAGTGCACACAGTGCGGAGTGTGCGAGAAATGTGTATATTCTAGAGGGATATTTTTAAATTTGGCGCATGTCTTTTAAGCGGCAGACATTTAGATTGGTTATGTGTGCCCCTTTCAATTATAAATTACAGCTACAGCATACTAATGAAATATCTTTCTCGTTCCATGCAACGGGCCATGCAGAGACATAGAGAGAGCATAGCTCGATATAGCGATAACGACGACGACGGACGACAGCAGCAACGCGGCAGAGGATTGTATGTTTTTGTTTGGTTCATTCGCATTCAGTCTTAATATCCCTCACCAAGGCGCCGGTTTACATACATAAACTAGAAACGGGAGAGAAAGAAAAAAAATCACAACCCGAATCGAAATACGGAACGACATACACAGAACTCGCACTGTAAAAATCTCAGTACGAAATCAGTAAGCAGTGTACAGATACAGCGTGAACACACACAAAATACAACGCGCCACGCACTTCGAATCAAAAAGTAATATTTTTCGTATCAAACGTCAAACCAACGAGCAAAAATAAAAGCCAGCCGAATTTTTGAAAACGAAAAATAAAAACGAAGGGAAAAAGCGCTCAAGAACGAAAGAAAACCCAATATAAACGAACGGAAATAAAATAGAAAAAAATAAATAAAAGGAAAACACGAAAAAAAATAAATCAAAAAGAGACCAAAGGCAGAGAAGAATAGACAACCGACAAAAAAAAATATAAAACAGAAAAGACATTCATAAAATACACACACAGGACATTGAGCAGAAGAAGTGGAAGCAAATCCAAGAGTAAAATCGCACGAACATCTAAAATCCCTAAAGTAAATTTTTGCTTGCACTCACGACACTCACTCTCGGTCGGATGTTCATCATTCTGTTCCGACGATTTAGTTTAGTTTGTATGTAAAACACGAACAAGTAACACATATTATTGGAACGAATAGAGTGAGAGCGAGCGATTAAAGCAACGAGCGCGAGCTTTAAATGTTCTGAACAGACACGAAAGCATTCACTCATTCGGATCGTATGTAGTGTTGTTGTGCAAGCAACGGATTTTCGTTTATCGGTTTTGAAAATGGTTTAATTTCATTTTCACGTTTCGTTTACCTTGTTGAATATGTATATAATGCACATACAATTCGCAACCGTTTTGCCATAATATACATACACATCCACACATTGATTGTCGGTTTCGATGGTTTTTGATTATTGAACATTGCTTGCATCTTGTTAATGTGACACTTTTATCAAAACAGTTTATTATTGGGTGTTTTAACCGTTTATGCGCCGCGTGCGAAACATAAACACACGAGTAAAAACCTAAAAAAAAATTCCCGAGTGTTGTGCATTTGTTCTGGTTTTTCGACGAGAAGCAGATAACATTTTTTTCCATATCGTTGTTCAGTCGGAAAAAAAGAAAAAAAAGAAAGCCAAACCGCAGGAGAGAAAGATTGATCTAATGGACGATACGCGCGATTGACGACGGTGAACACGCAATAATATATTTATATACAAACGTACAAGCGGCAAATACATTTCGTGGATGATTTTATTTATAAAATTATTGTATTAATTTTTCGGTTTATTACGCCCATTTTACGCACGCTCCACGACACTCTGACGGTAACAACGGTCGTATTGGTGTCGATGTTATTGTAGGTGGTGGTGACAAAAAAGTGTCACGTAAAATTAAGCGATTGATATAAAGTGAATATGTCGAACGATTGTAACTGCAGTTAATCATGAAATGTAAACGATTAATTTTGCTGTACCGAATGATTGTTTCAACAACAACGACAACGTAAAGCTCATCACGATCGCGCGACAAAAGGTATCATATTCAGTTTTGTAACATATACTCATTTATGTCTGTGTACATTAAGTTCAGTAGTTGTCCCTTGCGGATCGCTCATTCATTCATTGACTCTCATTTGTTCCACATCAACATTGGTGCTGCTGTTGTTGATGTTTGCGTGTATGTGTGTGAATGTATGTGAAATTCTGCCTGTTTGCCTCTTATGCCACCGGTTCGACTAATGTTAACTGGCAGGCAGGCAGGCAACAGGACGCACCATCAACAGCCATCATCATAATGATGACGACGACGATGAAGAAGTTAGCTTGTTGGTAATTATGATAAAATAGTGCATTTTACCGTACGCACGATTTATGTAATGTTTTTGTTTACGATGCATATGAATGTGTGTACTTTGCATGAATGTTCATTACACACATATACTACCGCGTGCCGTCTGCTAATGATACACCGAATGGGATTGGAAGGAAAAGCACAGGGATAATAACGGCAAGCCCTCCCGGAAAAATTATGTACACATAATCGCTACAATCTACACAAAATTTAATACAATATTTGGCTTTATTTGAGCACGGTTAATGGTATTATTATGAAAAATTAAGATATTAAATATAAAGTGGTGGAAAGCAAAGCATCTCAGCCAATATTTACTTATTCAGACTTTTCCTTTCTTGCTCTCTACCTATCTCTCTCTCTCTCTCTTTGTTTTCGGTTTGAATCATTTTCTCGTCATTTTCCGCGTTCATTTTTCCGTTCGTATCTAGAGTTCTTGTGTATTTTGGCTGACTGGTGGCATGCTTGCTTTGCTCTCGCTTGGTTTGTCTCTCTTTCTCGTCTGCCACCGATCTTCTTTTTTCATTCATTGTAGTCTTCTTCGTCGTCGTTGTCGTCCTCATCGTCGTCGCCACAACACCACCGTCGTCGTCGTAGTCTCTGTTGGTACAATGCGCCGTTTTTGTGCCATTCTTCGGGTGTTGTTATTACGGCTACAGTTGCAACTTGGGTATTTTATCGTAGAGTGTTTGTATATTTTTGGATTGAATGGATGAGTAACTATTACAACGAGTATGAGAGTTTAAATAAGAAAAGTTCAGTTGATTTAGCTCTGCATCTCTCCCTCTCGCATGGTTGTGTTGTAATGGTTACGAAGTGAAAGCTTTTGAAATTTTGAATTTCTCTCAAATTGCGAATGCTCGTTACACGTCAAAATGCCCACAGTGGCTGCTCCGCCACCGCTGCATTGTGGCTGTTGTTGGCAATCCAAAAAACTATCTTCCGAATATCATGCTTATTTGCTCGTGCCGAGAGAGAATACGCACGCGAAATTGTATACGTCACATACATGAGATTAAACGAATGTCTATGCTGAATGTTTATCATTCAATTGCTCTTTGGCTACGTGTTTTAGTCGATTAGAAATATGGCATGCCTTGTCATGTGCATGTAATACGGTCTATATGTTGTTGTTACTCTTTGCATCTTTGCTTTACTGTCAGATACTTTGTTGCTAGTGCCGTTGTTGCTACTGCTGCTGCCTTGGATGCCAAACCATCCAAAATCGAGTTTTGGAGCGAATGCGTTTCGCATTTTATTTATTCGATTATTATTCGGGAGGAAACGGTTGGGAATGGGAATCACATACACATACACACAAAACCGAATCAGCTCTAACCAACTCCTAAGGTTATGATTCGATCAATGAGCGGCAGAGGCAGAAAGAGCAAGAGCAAGATAGAATGAACTTTACAAAAGTGGCGGTTAGCTACAATTTATCCAGATTCGGTGTTTATTAACACAAATGCATATATACACACATATCATACGGTCGCACAAAATCCAATCCATTTATTCACATAAAATTCAGCAAGTATTATATCCAATAATAAAGCACACGCCAGTTTCAATGGTATTTATACACTCGCTCAATATCACACAGTACTTATTTATACATGTACAATGCTTGAGTGAGAGAAGGAGCGAACACGGGGAAGGCGAGACAGCGACTGAGTGAAAATGAGTGAGGAAAGGAGACCATGCAGATAATTCATGAACTAAACTCAATTCAGAGCCAAAATACACATGACAATCGCATGGCAAACACAGCAACAGCAACAGAAGCAACTGGCAGTAGCCAAGATGAAGATTACGGTTTGTTCGAATGGATGAGCACACCAGAGTGAAAATGAAATAAATAAAATCAAGAGAGCGAGAGTGTGTGTGTGAGAGAGAGAGAGAGAGAGAGAGAGACGAAAAAGCAAACCACATAACACAACAACACACAATATTACACACACTGTCCGAAGCAAATCGCTTACATACACCATTCAAACATGAAAAACAATACGAAGTCAAAAACTAAGCGAAAACCAAAGGAAGGGAAAAAAATTCAGATCGAATAATATATAAGTTTTATCGGCATTGGTGCAGGTGCTTATCGTTTATAATTTACCCACCTCAAATCAAATGTCCATTTTATTGATCGCTTGTAATATTGCCGTCGTGTATTTTGTATCCACAATATACACATGATGGTACACACGATGGTACACACACATACACACACAATACTTGGCGATTGGGGTGCTTCAGCTTGATAATAATGTGTGTATGTGTGTGTAATATAGTATGTTTGATATTTTCGTCGAATTTTTCTCCGTTCCGTTCGTCCTTCTACTATCCCATTCTCTTCAAAACGCATATTCGTTTCGTCGTCATCGAAATAAATCTGACCCTTGTATATCCTATAATTCGAATTTTCTACATTCCAACAATGCGAGGCATTGGCCCGCGTGTTGTTTTTTTTTCCCCAAAAAACAACTATCATCATATTATGCGATTATATTGAATTGACCGAAATCGACTAGCAAAGGACAAAACAATTCAAACAAATGAATTTCGAGAGATTTATGAGATTATATAGCATTTCAATTTTTATTTTTTCATGAGTGCTCTCTAATCTTAAGATATCATAAAAAAAAATCCAGATTTTTATGGATTTTCATTGAGAGCTGCTCGCCCCACTCGAACGCAGAAAGCAGATAATGATATTTCAGTTGTTCAAGTGGAGGACGGTCCACATTGATTGAATCAGAACTTTTTAATAAATTATTACTATCGACAATTTTCACTAGGTATTTACGCTCACCAGGCATATTACCACCCTTTCCAATTTTTTTTAAACTTCGTTAAAACTAAAACAAACAAGCCACTATCAACCCATCTGGCTTGCGGCACGATCTCAAAATGCTAGCAGCTGCAGTAGCATCAACCACCGCCGTCGCTGTTGCCTCTGTGTTGTTGTTGTTGCAGCAGCTGCTGCTGCTGCTATCGTCTTTTGAGCTTTGTGTTCTTTCTTCTTGTAATGTGTAAACTTACGGAATGGTGAATTTTAGAGAACGTTGTAGTGACAAAGAGGAAAAGAGAGAGAGAGAGAGAGCGAGAGAGAGAGAGATAGAGAGATAGAAAAGAAAGAGATTAAATGAGGTCCGGCTACGGACTAAAGAGCCTTGTTTCGAACCACTCTATTGATGATATTATGCTGTGTATATGTGGCGAGATGGCTATGTAATGTGTGTGCTTGGTTGATTTTATTTGTCTATCAAGTGTTCTATACGGTGTGTATGTTGTGCCTGAACAGGCATGATTTTGTTGTGTCTTGCTTGATTGTATATATGAGTACGAGTATATTTTGTTTTCTAGTCTATAATATACACAAAAGCGAAAATTCATCCCCGTGAATCGAGAGAGAAAGAGAGAGAGAGAGAGAGAGAGAAATCGAGCGAGCGAGAGCAAGTGGGTAGGGGAGGAAAAGCAATCGAATAGAAAAAAGCGTTCAGTTTACCAGTTTTTACCCTAAAAGTCAGTGAAGTGTACATTAGATTGTTTGATAAAAATAGATGTGTACCCAATATTGGCAGCCAGCGTGTAGCCAATATTACTCGGAATATATGCTTATATTATTATAATCATATTGAGCAGCAAAGGCAACAACAACGGCAATAAATAAACAGAAAGCGTATCAAATCGACACCACGCACGGCCAACAGAACAAAAACAGACCTCGTATTACAAACACATAGTGTGTGTGTGTGTGAGTTTGAGAGAGAAAGAGGATCGCAGTGTGCAAAATCACTGCTTGTAGAGAAAAAAAAAATACATATACATAGAGAACGTGTACCGAACGTCGAACGAAAATTGTCATCAGAGAAGAAACCAGAAGACCATACACACAATCACACACTCAAATAGACCATAATCAGTGGAGTTAAAGCGGAGACAGGCTCTAGCTTTGCCATGCAAAAACGATATGAACGCGAGCATGAGCGAGAGGAGAGGAGAGCGGTATGCACGTAAATAAAAATAAATAACAATAATGATATGAAGTATGGGCCCGATCGCGATTATCCATTACTCGATTGAATGTTTTCCTTTTCGGGTATATTTCTGGTTCATAAGCGACGAACAGCAAACAAAACACCACACACACTTTGGCCTTTGCTACATTTGCTAGCTCACACCCGTTCTCATTCTCTCGATCTCGTTGGCTTATTCTCACCCTCTCTGTGCACTTGCAACTAGTCGTTTACCCGAAATCTAAATTGTCACACGCGCTCACATGAATTCTCTCTCAATCTCTCACCCTCTCTGCTGTCGCACATAAGTAGATGCCATTACAGCAAATATACAATCCATTTGCATTTCAACTGTACAATATAAACGACCATGCTTTTTCTATCTCATTCTCAGGCCGAATCGTTTCGGCCCATGACGCGGCGGTGTCGTCTCCCATTTTGCCTCTGCATTTGAAATCATCAGTGGGCCATTTTCGGAAATACCAGTGCCGATTCACTCCTCCGAAAAAGGAATTCCTAAGTTCAAAGTATCAAGAGTTTGAATTCATTTCGTAAATCCATAAGGATTTGAGGGCTTTAAGAGTCAATAAAAATAAATCCAAACTTGTCTAAGTTCATTTTGTAAATGCAAATATGAATGTCGAATGTAAATGTTTTATAATG